ATTTATTTAGATATTTTTTTTGGTGGTTATGAGGTCGGTCAAATTGACCGATCCCATATAGAGATAGGGTAGAGAGAATAACAGATAAAATATAAAGTTTTACTGAAAAAAAAAGCATTTGAAGTGTATTTAGGAGGTTTTAGGGATTATACAAAGGAAATTGGAGATTTTTGAGATGAAGATAAGTATTTTTAATCTTAACATGAAAATCACTTTGTACATGGACAATTCATAACAAATACTCAATATATTCATGGACAATCCTTCAGTTTATTAAAAATAATTCACTAAAAATATGTGTTTCTTTCTATGTGAAAGACTTACAATGTTAACTGAAAGACTGCCAAATTTTGTAAAGATATACACACTATATTGAAAGTTAGAAGTATTAAATCTATAAAGACTTTAAGTGAATAAAAAGAGGTCACATGAGCAGTCAAATTGACCAATCCCATGTTGAGAGAGTTAATGAGGTGATGATGCGAATCCAATTTCAATTATTTGTTTCCTTATATTAAATTAATCATACTGCTAGCCACAACAAAATGTTGGAAAGAGATCATAAGTAAAAATTTTTTGTAACAAACTTACTGAATCAAGAAGTAAATGAAGAGGCCAAACAGTAAAAGATGAACTGTCAAACATAATTGTCTTCATGTAGTTTCCTGTAGCAGTCATTAGCAAAGAACGAAAGATAAACAGACAAGCATATTTACTGTCTTCAGTTAGTTTCTTGTAGTAGTCTTTAACAAACAACGAAGGATAAATTATCAAGCATATTTACTGTCTTCATGTAGTTTCCTACAACAGTCTTTAACAAACAGCAAAGGATAAATTATTAAGCATATTTACTGTCTTCATGTAGTTTCCTATAACAGTCTTTAACAAACAGCAAAGGATAAATTATCAAGCATATTTACTGTCTTCATGTAGTTTCCTACAACAGTCTTTAACAAACAGCAAAGGATATACTGTCAAGCATATTTACTGTCTTCAGTTAGTTTCTTGTAGCAGTCTTTTCAACAGATACATAAAATTAAATTACATTAACATATATGATCATTAAAAAACCTTTTTACGAATGTCAATACAGATAAAAACAAAATAAAATTTAAGAGGCTTAAATATTTTTAACTTGGCAATAAGCAGAAAAAAAGCCAACATAAGTTTGATAGTGATTGGGGTCTGCAGAAGATATCATGTGAATTATGAAAACAAAACACTCACTACATGTTGGACAAACATGTCTAATAAACTTTCCATGAACTTCTTTGATGAGAGAAGTGATGTTTTGTTCAGCTGCTCCTGTCGCAAGTCATAGTCTTCGTGCATAGGCTAAATTAAGAAAAACACATTCACTTATTCATTTATAAACATTATACTGTGGCTTATTTCTATAAAACACTAAATAGGGGTTTTACACAAATGTAAATACAACTAATTATTACTAAATAATGTTGTAATAGTAGAATCACGTTTGATCAACAAAGTTTACATAAACTGTATTTTATTTCTTAGCATCTTGTGCCAAACTGTGTGTCATTATTCATGTTGTATTTCTTTTCCCAAACACACATCAAATATAAGACAATGTTGTGAGGGCAAACAATTTCCCAATGGGACATTACATGTGCACTTCATGAATAGCTCATCCTCCAGTTTTCAAACAATAACACTAGTTTGCACATTAAAATGAATGAAGAATAATATGTTGAGAGTTGAAAAAATAGAAAATTTTCTACAATTTTACAAATATAATTTAATAATCATTTAACAGTAAAAAGCTTTGTTATCTACCTGCATAAGTGCACAGATCATATCTACAGCAGCATGAGTGACTCCATCCATATTGCGTTTCAGTGCTTTAACAACCTTCATTCCAAGCTGTTCACGAACCCTAAAAGAATAATTACATACTACCATAAAACAGTTTAGAGAATTTTCATATATATATGTAAATTCCTTCACCTAAACTTCTATTGTTTTAACCATGTAATTACAGTTTGAAGAATAATTGTAAACCACATTTATTAGGCACATATGATGAACTTTAATTTAAGTACATTTTAAAGAATATTAATTCTGCTTTATGTACAATTCTAAATTGAATGATATACACTAACAAATTCTCAAATATCAAAAACATCCTGTAGTTATTCTTAGTTGTAACAACTTCTACAAAAAATAAGTTACTGTCAGATATATATATATATATATATATATGTGGCAAATACAAGAGTGATTTATATAGTGATAGTTTGAACTAAACAAATAATATTTAACATGTAAGTAATGCTAACATTTCCCCAAACAATTTCTGTTCTCTAAATATTTAGAAGCTTGTTACACATTGTAGACTTTGAATTGACTCTTAAAATATAAAAGGACTAACCACCAAGTTAAATAGATTTACTCATAATATCTTGCTCTATTAGTTTTACCAAAGGATTTATAGTTACACTGTACTACAATAGCCTCAACTGAATTGTAGTATGAAGCAACTAATCCCATGATAAAGCTAATAAATGAAATTGTTACTATTTTGTTTGGTAATTTATCCTTTTTTTTTTAAAAAAAAAAAGAGATTAAGATCTGTTTTTTTCTTTCTGGATATTATAAAATCATTGAAAAAGTAAAGAAATATAAATGCAAAGGCATATCTTCTACAATTTATTCCTAAAAAATAGTATTACCTTGTTTTCTATCCTTAACACAAGAAAAAGATTAATCATTGGTTCTGCATTATTCTAACTGAATAAGCAAACCTATAAAGGTATTTCTTACCGAAAGTAACCACAGTTCTAAACACATCACTTCTACAAATACATATATATAGACATTCTATATATATATATATATAAAATTTTAAAACAAATAATAAACTAATTGATTTGCATCACCTGGTTTGATATCATGTAGAAGAAAAAAAACAGTACAATGACGAAGTTTTTATTTTTACATTTGCAGTTAGAGCAATACAAAAACATGGTGTACATAACTTACCTAAATTATGGTGAAAGTACAGTAAAAATTTTTGCAAAGCTAAGATGTAGGCTAGTGATGGGCAATCAGTAAACCATTTAGTGAATTTTAGTCAACATGTAAAGAAACAATATCTTTTACAAAGTAAATAAAGTGTGCCTTGGCCTCTAATAAGTAGTTCGACAAAGTTAAGTGATAAGTCAGTTTATTGGTTGACTAAAGTCAACAAACTGGTTAACTGATTGCCCATCACTAGTGTAGGCAGTGTGGGTGAATCAGCCGGGTCTTGTTTGGCAGCTATTTTAAGATCTGGGAAGATCTTTTGATTGTCACATAAAGAGAAAAACTTTTGGCTGCTGAGGAGAAGTCTATTTCTGCACTTAACAGTAATAAAGACAATTTTTTGCACTGAAATGTTTAAAGTTGGCTGGGTTACAATACATCAGATTGTAAAGACTTTAGGATATGTAACATCCAATCAGGCAAAGCATGATCTCTTTTAGAGTAGATGATGCATTGAAATGTCACTTAATTCTTGAGTTTCCATCAGTAAGAAGTTTACTACAACTCAATATTATAATTACTGAATAAAGTATGAAAGAAATTGTAAGCTACATCACTTTTTAAATCAATTAAACATTGTAATTCTAACTATTTAAACAAAGTGTTATTCAAAAATACTTTACAAATGATATTTATCATTATGTAAGATATAATTAGTGTAATTAACCAAATAGAAATTTTTTTAAATATTCCAACTTTCATTTTTTAGCATTCCCGGTGACTGAGCAGGAAGTTTAAAGGCTTATAACAGTGGGCACAACACAGATAGCCCATTGTGATTAAAAACAAAATAAAAAATAATTGATTAAACTTTTCTAACTATCTTCAAAACTGTGCTTCATTAGTAATTGTATAAACCACATGCTGTAACATTATAAAGGAGTGATGATGAAGATCTGTAATAATAAAGCCACTGTCATAGAAGAAAAATCATGAGAAAAATAAGATATGAACCATTTTATTCTTGAGGAATGATAGCTTCTTAAGAAGTATAAGGGATAAATGTGCAAAAATTATTATTATTTTTTGATAGATTATTTAGGCATAGTATTCATGATGAAACTTTGTTGAATGGATGGCAATTGCCTTTGTAGAAACACAAGTGTAGAGGACGACTTTTCAAAAGTCTTCCGCCTTTCATCTTCAGGCAGTTGCCATCCATTCACTAACCAAAGAATAAAAACAATTTGATAGAAGAAGTTCTAATATACTTACTTCAATTTAGAGTAAATAAAATGGATTTAGCAGCAATCTCTGATGATCAGATTTTATGTAGAGGGTGAACAATGGATTCTAATGTGAAATTCACTACACTTAGGAAAAAAACTACAGTTCTGGAACTTTGTTTAGAGTTTGCTTGTTTTCTGACAATCTTTTTTCCTTGAAAATATTTTTGTGTCAAATTATATCTGCTTGAAAGTTAAAGGAATCTTATGCTGTGATAAGACATCACTTAAGTGTAGATAGGTTTAGGAAATGATTCAGATAAGTCAAATCCTTTGTTATTGAATATTATTAACTTTATATTATTCAAACATTATACAAAAGTAAAAATACTTATTATTTATTAAAAGCAAGTTATATTTATTGTATAAAAGTTGATTTTGATCAATATTGTTAGCAAACATCAGAATACTTTGCTTCTCAAGGTAATAGTTATGCCATTTTGAAAGGTAAGATTTTGAATAAATTTTTCAGTTTTTCAATGTTCTTATTGTTTATCTTGCCAGAAGTGGTGATGCTTTCAACTTAGAAAATAAAGTATCATGAGAAATATGTTAATAAATATCAAACAAGTTGAAAATGACTGAACATATAAAATAAAACTTTCACACCAATAATAAAAAAAAAGATTAAATTCTAACACAAAAGAAATATTTTCATGTTTTTCATACATTCTTTTCAAAAAAAATTTGGAAATTTCCCAATGTTCATAAGGGAAAAAAATATTAAATCAAATGAATATTTGTAAGTAGAAACTAGATATTATTTTAAAAGTTTGTATTAATAAAGATACATACAATTTTCACTGTGAGAAGAATAATATCAGGTGATATTAGTAACACCACACCAATATGGAGAGAGTTAATATACAGCGACTTATTCCAAAACAGTATGAATTAATAAATTAAAATCTACTTTGTAATACTGAAAGTTCTGTTGGAGATAAGTTTTTATTGGGTTTGATATGGGACTCAAGAGTTAAAATTCAACATTTGTAATAAATGTTTCTTCCATTTGGCTTAACCACGCTAACCCTAAAATTACGGGGTAGCAAGAGATACACAAGTGTATAATAGTGGCTTGATCCAAAAGACCCACCTCTCCTATGCATCCTAGGGTTGCATCTAGAATGCATGAGATTTTTTTAATCTTCTGCTTTTTTGGTAATTTTATATGATCATAATAAGTTCAAAATGACATTAAAAGTTTACATTTTATGTATATGACACAATTAAAATGTCAGAAAAAACACACACACACTAATCAAAACACTTACTTGAAACCTCAAATCTTACTTTATTTATTGCACACCAACAAGGACAATACCATGTTTTAGTCACTCTTTTCCATTGAACATTTTTATAATATCTATCTAAAAAGTACTAAAATAACTTGAAGGATTTCAACCCATCCTAAACCTAATTTTAAATAAAATTTGTCTAGTTTTGGAGCAGTTGTCAGCTTGTGTAAAACTTGAAACACAAATATGCTGGTACCTCTTAACTACCATCATAACTGAAATGTTTTTGATCACAAAGTACAACTGTTTAAATTTTTTATCCAGCTATTTAGTGGTAAACATAAATAAAGATCATATTGAAAAACATGTACAAACCACTATTTCAATTCTAGCCTACAATTAATTGTAATGTAGGTGACATAAAAAAAGCAAATCCTCTTTCTTTTCAGTTTAATTTCAAGGCATTCACATCAGTTACTATATAACATGAATATAATCTAAACAAGTATCTAAAGTACTTTTTAAGGCAAACATTTTTGGTATGATGACAATACTTAAACTTCATCTGCAATAAAAACTTAAAGAAAAAAGTTTCTTTGTTGAATATTATAAGTTGGTATACAAATACCTTGGTAGCAAAGTAAAAGTTGCAAACCCAATCTTTGAAGCCACCAGCCTTCTAAGACCTTGAAACTGGGCTTCAAGAACACAGTTATCTATAACATTTTGGTCTCCTCCTTTTTCCAAAAGAGCAATTAAAGCTCCTTGTATCAGTTTTTCCTTTTTCTCTGCAAATAATCCCTATTTATGAAAGGGGGGAAAAAATATTAATTTCCATTTGTGAAGCTCCAAACGTTTATGTGACATTTGTCAACACAACATTGAAACGTTGTTCTTGAACTGCACATTAATGATACAAGTCTGATGGTCATTTCTGTATCAGCATCATTTAATGAACTAGTTCCTCACTTAATAATTTCTTAAACATCTCATGAAAATTAAGCAAGCTTAATGTCAAAAAATACTAGATTGTGCAAATATAAATTTCCCCATTATAATAAAAAGCATAAATTAGTCATACCATGATATAGCTACAATTTCAAAATACACATTTTGGTATAAAACATTTACTTATTCAATTACACATAATGAACTAAAAGGAGATTACATTACATTACATTACATTTTATGGTAATTTTTCTGTTTCTTGATCAATCAGTTTCTAATCAGAGCTGTACATATTCATTTAACTTAGAAACTTGATGCAATTAATAAACATAATATAATTAAAAAAGGAAAATAATACTGTTCACATGATAGCCACTGTTCACAACAAGCCACGATAGCTCAAAACTGTTTAAATAAAATAATATCACAAACTGTACGTGTAAAGTTAACTGAAAACAAAATAGAATCTTTCAATGTTCAAACATCATATTCCATTTGTATCTATATATTTTTAGAATGAGATAATTTAGGAAATTCTTGTGATCCAGTGAGCAACATGTATGCAAGGTTTTACAAACATTTTTACTACCTTTCATGCACTATTTTGAATACATATAAAACATCAAACAAGTTCAAAGAAAAAAAACGGATAACTTAGAAATAATATAGCACAACTGTCATAAACACTTAGAAAACATCTGCTAATCTCACATACCTCCAAGCAGTGTCTGCTGCCACCAGTCTTTAAAATAAAAGCTAAGTTTGACAAAACATAGAATGAAACTGACTAAAATATAAGTAATTTTTATGAAATCTCTCTTGTGGAGGTGCCATATTATTTGTGATTCACTTGTCACTTATAAGTAAGCCTAATTATAATGAATTGTATAATTTTTATAGAAGACTTTTAGCTACTCTTCCAATAGGTATTATTACACAATTATTTATTAAGTCCTACAGAACTAAATATAGATATATATTTTAAACAGTTATTTTCTCACTCAGAAGCTTAAAACACTATTGTGTCACTGCCCACAAGGAGTGTCTGCTTCACAGCACATGTATGGCAGCTAGAACTGAGAGCTGATTTTTATATTTTAAATAAAGAGTAAAAAAATATATATTTCTGTAAATATAAGTTTTCTTTAAACCAAGCCATTAAAAAAGAAACAGGCTCTTTGGGAAATTTTACAGGTTTTAACCTTTAGGGTCACTTGTCACAATATGGCAATTACATACTGAGGTTTGAATTTTCTGCTAGAAATGCAAATCGAGCACACACAATCAACAGACAAAATCTAATCTCACAGAAGCAGCATATGTTGCTATTCAAAACATCAATAATATTTGCAGTTGAAAATTGTTTAATTTTTATGAGAAAATGGACCCTAAAATGGCATCAAATCACTCCAGTGCAAGTTTATGATGATTTACTGTTACTATGTCCTGCTCTGCTTAAGAACAATATGCTTTCGTCAGCCTTAATGTTAGAAATAAAGCATTATACTACCACAATAAAAAACAAAAAGACTAATTCAGACCTTTTCTTTCTCATAAGAGCAGCTAATTCATACTCTCACAGTATATATTACTTCATGCTTACAGCAGAAAAATTATCATTAAAGGAAAACAAAAAAAATCTTTGAACCACTTAAGTGTAATGTGTGATAGCCTTTAATAATTTTTTTTTTGGTAAGTTGAAACTGTAGCTCAAATATTTTCACTCAATTACAACCAAATCTTACTTACATCTTGTGTAACACTGTGTAAGAGTCCACTGTATGGTACATTGTTATTAAACCTAAATACACATTCTGCAAAATCCCAGCCACCTGAAAATACAAACCGAACACATTAATTACAACTATCTCCAGGAGTACATAAGTATTTCAGTTCATTTTCATATACTTGTAGTTTTCAGTAACATATGTTCTCTTTGATACATAATACTATTGAACACATTACAATGGGTTGTTTGTATATCTTGTGATTAAATTTGAACGTTATTTAAATTCTTTTGTCATATAAATTAATAATAATCTCTTCTGCAAGTAACAGACATACAATATTTCACTGGTGAATCACCAGATGATCTTTCAGTTATTTCTAAACAGATGTTTAATTTTAATCAGACTTTTTTATACTCACGAATAGTTTGCTAAACTTTTGACAGTGAAGACTATCAAATTGGGTACCTCAAGACTCATTGTTAGGACCTTTTTTCTTTGTGACTCACCAATAATTACTTAAATTTTTTGGTGCACTGAAATGTTTCAAATTTAGAAATATAAAAATGTACATACCTTTTAATTTTTTCATACAATATCTTAAAAAAATCTTTTTTAGTTATATTCTTAATATCAGGTCTTTTCCTTTTCACATTTAGTTAATTTTTTAATGTTTTATTTTCCTTTCCTGTCCTTTACCATTTATTATTAATCTCAACACAAGTCACCGGTGTCCTCGGGGCATACTACAGTATGTACAAGCCTTTGGCAAAATATTCTCGCACTCACATAATATCATAAGCCTTGAAAACCAAAGCAAAGTTTGAGGCAAAGTTTTAAAAATGTTTAAACCTTTCAATTATGCCTTTTAAAACATAAATAACACATTATTAGCTAAAATATAAAAGTAAAACCTAAATACAATTTGTCTCTCTAACTATAACATCTTTAGATAAGAAACAACCATAAGTATTTTCATGGACAAAGCAGCCAATAATACTAATGGCAGTTACATCTATCCAATGTTTGCCACTTTCAAAATAACCATTGTTAGATTATAGTGTAAAATGAGCTCTTTCTAATGGTTATAAACATGTGTATCAAATAAGTACATGTGACTTGTAAATCTCAAGGCTAAGTACAGAAGGTGGGTGTGGCACCTGTTAGGGGTTGGCAAAATATATTTCTTGTTTCCACTAAACTCAGCCAAAGAACTTTGGAACATACATGTAAATAGTTCAGTAAGTGTCGTCTAGACATACATCTACAGACACTGTAATTATCTAATTCAAGATTGTTAAAGTTCAGATTTATGAATGCTTGTGTCATGTAAGAAAAAAACTGAAGTTTAAGTATTTGTTTAAAGTTTCTTTTGAAATAAAGGAATTAAAACTTAAATAACATAAAATGTCAAATTATAACATACATTATAATGTTAATTTTATTGAAATACATTGATAGTAAAGTTGTTTCATTAAATGTTGAATATAACTCAATGACTTGCACAGAAAGGAGCTCAAAGGGGTACCCGTACCTGTTGTGAAAGGGTTAAAAGAATTTATGAGTGAAAGTAAAGAAGAATGCAATAATGTGGCAACCACACTGTATATGTTATATCCACCATCGACAATAACTTTCTCCCAGTATCAGGCTGGCTGGGATAAGACAGAAGACAGTAGTAGTAGTTGAAATGCTTTCTATATCACCAAGTGTTTGAACAGCAACTGTGTGAACTAGATTAAGTTGGTAAACTGTAATTTTTATAAGTTCTTTCAACTCTGATTGCATGTATAAAAAAATAAGTAACTCTAGAAATAATATAAGCTTTCATTATAGCTGCAAGTCTCATAACATAAACTTAACATTCAAATAAACAGTTTATACATGATTTATTAAAACCACTTACTTGGCGGATATTGAAGAAATTTGACATGCCAGCTTTCAACTTCTTCATCAACAGGAACAGTGAATGGACCAAGCCTTTGACCACGATCAGTTGGTATCATTTTAACATGGACACTTTGGTTACCTGATGCCCTGACCCCATCCAGCAGGGAAGCCAACAGAGCATCTCTGGAGGAACATTAATCAGAAAATACTTTACTTAAACAACTCACACAAACATACAAAAAAATAGTTTTCCCCTCCAAGAAAACTCCCTATTCTCATACAAAATATTTAAGTTCAGAAATGCATTTAATGGAATGAGTATTTAATCACACTCTTTCTTATACATATGTAATGACCCAGTATTTCAATACACCTCTGAACAATAAGTACACCTACTATTTCAAACACACACAATCTAAATTAAAATCAATTGAATTGATCTCTAAAAAACAACAATTCAGAAATATTTAATAATTTTAAATAGAATATCTTGATCTTTGTTGTTAATCATATACTTGAAGAATTATCTTGAATATGTAAATTTTTATACATTAATAACTAGATCTCAATTTTTAAAAATCAAGGTGGCATTTATGCCAACTTGCAAGCTGTAGCATCAAATTACATCAGTTTAAATGATATGATATAACAAATTAATTTTTTTGTATCAATAAAATGGGCCATTTTGGAGCAAGATGGCACCGTGGATCACTAAGAAGTTATTATAAAATTCCAAATAAAGACACCAGAAACACAACTGTTTTCAGAGAGATGAAGATGAATGACATAACTCTCTTAAATTGTTCAAGCTTTCGGATACTTTTTTGGACCTTAATAAAATAAAGGTGTAATAAACATAAGTTTTGTATGGCCTCAATCACTAATAAAATCTTTGCTGTTTCTTCAAATCCAAAAGAGTGAATACTATAAATACAAATAAACTAAGAAAGGGCATGCCTGTGATAAGTTCAGAAAGTAGTTCTGTATGATGTTCTTTAAGTTAATATACTTATACTCAATGATTTAATCACAAACAGTTTATTTGTATTTATAGTATTCACTCTTTTGGATTTGAAGAAAGGGCATGCCTGTGATAAGTTCAGAAAGTAGTTCTGTATGATGTTCTTTAAGTTAATATACTTATACTCAATGATTTAATCACAAATGCCGTGAAATATAGATTAATGGTCATACATCACATAACTTAAAGATAAAGAACACCTTTAAACATTATGTTACCAAAATTTAGTTCAGTTGATGCTACTATCTTTGTGCAATATAGAATAATACATAGAAATTAAAAATAATGCATTACAAGACTTTTAAGTAACATAAATAATAAATTCACTAATAAAATATTTGAGTCATGTTTTAGCAATTAGCCAAGCAAGTGAGAATAATTTTCTTTTCATGTGAGTTTGATTCAATGACAATGGAAAGCTCTACTACCTTTACATATGTTTAGTGCTTCATGTTCCTGTATTTCCCTGCCCTCAGATAACACTTATCTATGTTTATACTTTATTTTAGCATCTTCATGTTAAGTAACCAGTGAAAACTAAATGATACCTATGATTTTTGAATCCTTGTGTTAGTTTACCTGATACAGAAATATGTAAATTTAACAAATATTTGTCCAGTAATAGAATATTTAGTTAAATCCTTTCATATAAAAAATCTAAGTACTTTTCTTAGCTTTCAACACAATATTTTATTGTTGGGTTTAATTTATTTACTCACCTATCAGTTGATGTGTATGTTCGAACTTGACCTTTCACATATTCAACTAAGAACATTTGTGGGTTTTCTGAACACCTTACTATTGCAAATATCTTGGGTAAAAAAAAAAAAAGAATCAACACAAGTACATATTATTCTTGTTCTAAGTATAGATGAGCCAAAAAGAATATTTTTCATAATCAATTATATGTCAAAGTTTTAAGGTCAAATCATTTTTTACAACAGAATATTTTATTACACTGAAATATCAGAGAAGCCAATAATATAAATTATGGTATTACAAGAATACAGCCCATCAAAAATGATGGGGCAAGTATTACCACCCCCACTTCATATTTTATAACTAACTGAAATAAATAAATTTTGCAAAATCAAGCTTAACCAACAAAGTGGAAGAGAAGTGCAGCTGAGGCAGTCAAATGTCCGTAAATTCGTTTGTGAGCCAATCAAAATTAAGACTATTCATAGTATAATTATTGGTAAAAATCCCTTAGGTTAACAACTTCTAATATATAGAAAAGTCAGTACGTTTTGGAAACACTAAGTTCCAACAGTGGCTTTTATATCATTTTGCTTAGCAACAAAAGTATAATGTAATACTGTTGTTAGTCTGTATACTAAAAGTATAAAATGAAATGTATAGACAAGAAAAACTGGAAAAATATTTGTTGATTTCTTAATTTAGATTCTTCATTGATTAAAGAGGTTTGTTTTTTTATTAAAAACATTGGTGATATAACTGACAAAAGCTTAATTCATAAACGATTTAAGTTGAAAATTGAATCCATATTTTTACTTTCATGATAAATTTTATGCACTTGACTCTAGGCTAAGTGATCCTACACAACATCGTTACTTTAGGCTTATTATACCAACACTCACAACACTTATAGGGTTTCATGGCACACACACACACCCTCATGACCCCCTTGTGCCCCTGTTACTAAAATTGTAGTGGGCAGACAGTAATTGAACTATTCTATCTGGATAAATGCATGTTGGCTTTTATGACTCCTCCTATTTCAAGAAATCAAGCACTATGTGATGTGGCACAAACCGGCTTTTATATAAGTTAGATTATACCGTGTTATACTACACTTACTAAATATTCATCAAGAACAGACAATCTAATCCTTAATAGTACATAACCCTAGTTAATACACTTCTCAAAACAATTATAAATTAATCAGAAATTGTTATAAGGTAATTCAATCACCCTCTCAGTTCACTGTTATATCAGATATTTGATGTTCAGTCATATGATTTGAAATGGAAATTTTAGGTCATTTATTTTATTACTGGTGTGCCCAGTCATTGATTATACTGAAAACTGATCATTTTCTGGCCTCAACAAAATACCTGATTAATATTTTAACAATCAATCTTCAGTCTATAACAAGCAAATGAGAAATCTGTATGAGCTATTCAATCCAGGAGTTTTTCCAGTAACAGAAATGAAACTACACACAGGGAAACCTCCTAGTGTAAATTCCATTCTTCTCTCAGTCATATTAATTGTGCATCAAGTTGTGGAACAAACTTTACTACCATATGCATGAGGGCCTGCAATTCACTAATAAATGGACATGTCAACACAGAATTGAGAAACAGGAATACAAGTCATACTATCATGGCAGTGAATTCAATATCTCACAGAAGTGAAAGTCAGACATTAATAAAATGTTATTAATGAAAAAAATTTCAATAATATACATCAAAATAATTAAATACATAGCACTGCTTAATTAACGGTTACATTACTACCAAAAATCAATTACTAATTCAACCTTTGTTGATAATACTTAACTAATCATCAAACATAATCTTATAACTAATTCTCACCATTACAATCTATAGTATATGTAGTGTCCTCACAAACATAACTTTCAAGTAAATCATAGTGTTCAAAGTGATCAAAACTATCGATGAACCATGGCTAGACCCTCAGTAAAAACCATTTGAACATTTGACTCATGTGGAGAGCATTGGAGAAATGGAAGCAAGCTAATGAATGAAGGCTGTTGCAGATTGGCTCCAAGTGTGTCAAAGCATCATTAGCAGAATGTGGAACTGTTTCTAGACCAACGATATAATTGTGTAGACTGATGGATAAAGTAGACCGTTATCCACAATAAAAGCAAATGATCATTGCCTATTGATTCAGGCTCAGCCCAATTATAGAGTACAGGCTCTGAAAATAAATCAAATGCTACTCATGATAACAGACACATGCTAGTACTGTTGGTTCTGATTTAAGCCTAATGGGTGATAATGCTAACCCCACTGTACTAAACTAGTCAATACATTGTATATAAAAAAAAAGAAGAAACTGAATGAAAGTAGTGGCTTTCATGACCAACAGAATTCAGTCCCATTAAAGTATGTATGTGTTGTTCCTGGGAAATATGCCATGTTCCACTAAATGACTCCAGACATGAAAGATGCTCTGTAAACAGCCCTTTCAGAAGAATGATCGAAGAAGACCTTATTATTAATTTCATTTTAAGCAAGTAAAAATCAGTATCAGGCTGTCCTTGCTGTATATGGGGACTATATTTCACATTGAAAAAGTAAAACATTATGAACTGCAAAAATTTAAAACCAAATTTACCAAATGTTCATTTAGAAGCATAAACTAAATGACCAGCCATTTATGCTTGGAGATGGCTTGAATGGGTAATATAAGTTTAACATAACAGCAAATGTACAACGTTTCGTCAAGGTTCTGTCATCATCAGGTACAAGTAGTTTACAATGACACAGATATATATATATATATACAGTATGGAACAAAGAGGTCACATGACCGGATATTGTTGCACGACCAGACATTTATATTTCAGATCAATACTTTCATCAGATTCCAAACTTGCAAAATAATCAAATAAGAGAAAGAGTGATTGATATTATTTTACAAAATTGGATTAACCTCGTTCTTGTTATGATATTACAAATTTTGATTATCCTTTGTTCTTAGTATTATATCAGGATTATAACTAATACATCAGATTTGTTTTTCATGGACTTCATCTAGACAGTATTGTGAAGGATAGTATAGAAAGTCCAAATGGTGTATTTGAGTGTTTTACACTCGCAAAAAAGAAACCTATCATTCTATAGGTATTTGAAGAACTTGTAGCATTCCACCACAATTTAATTCTTCAATGAAAGAATAGACCATTCCAAGCTTTTACTTGTTGTTAAACAAATGTTTAAACTCTATTCAAAATAGTATAGAAAGATTTTTATCACTTTGTAAAAACAAAGACTATGAGATTTTC